TCAAGGCTCTGAGTTCTTGGTCTCCAGCATGGGGTGCAATCAGGAGGTTGTAAAACCACATGTGGTGAAACCTAGCAGAGGGAATTGCTTGCATCATTAGGGCAAGGGGACCTTCCAAACCCATGTAAGCACCTGCTTCAGACCCATCTTCCCAAGTCCCCAGACATGGGTTCCCATTTCCTCTGAAAATCTGAGCCAAAGCAAAACCTGTGCAGCACCCACACACTGCTGCTTCTTGAGGAATTGGTCATGGTTATAAGAACACTAATGCAGTCCTCGGAGACAGAAAGTGAGGACTTTCTGGTTTGGGTTTTGTGTGTGTGTGTGTGTGTGTGTGTGTGTGTGTGTGTGTGTGTGTGTGTGTGTGGACAGCTGTGATTGGTTGTTTTCCTCACATGACCTCACAGGACCATTGTGAGTAGTTGCAGACCCCGCCCACTCAGGCACAGGCTGGGGCTTCTCTCTCTACAGAGAAACTGGTGCTTGGTTGGGTGCAGTTATTGGACTCAGACATTGATATTACTGATCTCTGAAAAACAGACACTGTTCATCTGTTTTGACAGCCAAATAGTGAATTTGCTTCCTGGTTTGTTGGTTTAATTTACATCGCTTAATTGTTTCTTGATTGAATTAGTACTTTCCATTCAATTTCTTTTTACTAGCCCCATATTTCTATTCTTCAGCATGATTCTTTGACATTTATAAATTTAAATTTTCAGGTTATAAAAGTTGTTAGTGTGGACAAATTGTAAGAAACAAGACACTTCATGAGAATGTTTGTCGCATCTGCTCTGCTATCATCTCCTACAGTCTTTGAAGTTCTTAAATGCTCATCTGTCTTGTTAACTGTCTTCCACACTTGCTATGCTACACCACAATACCCTGCAAAACAACGAAAACCATGTCATGTGTATCCTGAGCAACAGCCCATTTGTTTAGAGCATGCCAGGGTCAGGGAGAACTGCCATCCTTTAGATGCTCATCTGTATGAATCTCAGATAAAGGAATTGAAGATCCTAAGTGTAGAGATGAAGTCAGTAGTAGTCGGGATTCTTTCAGCGCAAAGGGCTTTGGGGCATGGTTTCTTTCTTTCACTACTCCATATCTGTGCCCCTAAAAAAGGTCAACACTAGATTCCTGAGCCCATCCACTTTGTTACTAAGGCACGTGTTATCTTGTTATAGGTTATCTAGTTCCTAGGTTCTGTCCAAATGTCCTCTTCAGGCTTGGTATGAGTGGTCTCAAAACTTCTCTGGTATCTAGATGCTTGGGCTCTAGCAGGATGTAATTCGGGAAGACCTAAAAGCCCAGGTATGTGGGAAGCATCAGGAGGAACTGGGTGACTGGATGCAGGAGGAGCCCATCAAAGTCATGTACCCGGCTGCTTCCTCCCATCTTGCCAAGTCCCCATCTTCTCATCTGGCTTAGCTGCCTGTCCTCTGAGAGCATGAGAGAGAGAGAACAGAGTTTCCCACTGCCCTTTAAGATACATCTTCTTAGGGATTTGCCCACAATTTTGACAAAAGTTATACAGCCCTGCAGCTGGATAGAGCAACATCTTTGGATTATTTCTGGCTGCTACTAGACCATTCCTTAGTGTGACATCACAAAATGCCTTGATGAGAAGTTTTGGAAATTGGTTCACATAAGCCCTGCAGAGGGCTGGGGCTTGTTGATGCTGCAGAGCAACTCTTGTGGGGTGGAGAGCAGTTAGTCTTCTCCATTTGTCCTGATCAACTGGATTCTCCAAATCTCTTGGACCATGACATGGGGAGATTTCCTCTTTTTGGCTGGATTTTGTTTTTTGTTTGTCGTTTTGATTCATGCACTCAGTGCTTTTAGATGAGGCATGGGTTTATGTTTATGTGTTCACTTTGTTTGCTTAAAAAATCTTTTGCCATATTTTACTTTGGTTTCATTTTCTTGTTTTAAATCTTAAGAATGTGATGTAAGTCATTCCTCTGTAACACTTCTGGAATGGTATAGTGACCTGAGATCATTTCCTCTGCTCTGTTATATTGCAGCTGCCCCCTTTATGTCCTGCAAAGGGTTCCATTTCAGTTACGGGCCCACCTACTCCTCCATGGCTCTAGTCAGCATCACCATCTGGACCTGGGTTATTACAGACACAAGCCTCGTGTCTATTTCTATTTCAGAAAATAACACAATTTCATTTTTTCGGTCTAAGCATGGACCTCCTTCCGTGCTTGTTGTCCAATAGTTTTCCTGTGAAATTATCCTAGGAAGCCCTGTTGAACTCACTGTGAACCTGAAGCATCAACTGTGTCATGTGTTTTTGAACTTTGTGTGAATTACTAAGTGATAACAGATGTACAATTGACTGTTCATCAAGGACATTGGAGTGTACTCAAGCTTGTGTGCATGCATGAGTGTGTGTGTGTGTGCATTTGTGTCTGTGTGTGTGTGAGTGCATGAACCTGTGTGTGTACACGCATGTACCTATTTGTAGCATTATGTGTACATGAGTGTGCACTAGGGCACCAGCAACTGTGTATTGCCTCTGTGTGTGTGTGTGTGTGTATACTATATGTTTGACCTCAGGGGTATACTAGATTTTAAGACTAAGTTTGGAGTTGTCTTTCCTTGTGTTTGGTGATGTTTCTTGAGGATAATCTGTCTCCTTTATACTGTGAGGTCAGTAGGTAAGTCCATCTTGCAATCTGCTGTCCTGGGATGTCCTTGTTAGCAAAAATTGCATTACTCTTTCCATCTTATCCCTAAATTGATGCCTTTGCATGGTTTGTAACATCCACAATTATTCATCACACAGAGAGTGAAGTAGCTGGCAGGCAGCAGGTTAAGTAGCGTTAATAACATCTTATCAATGCTGGTGACTCTTTCCAAGAAATCACATTCTTTCCTTAATATCACCTCTCTAGAGTTAATTCATAACACACACACACACACACACACACACACACACACACACACGCACACACCCAATGCCCTAGATTTTACTTGTCTTTCATTCATACATTGTGTCCTGACTTACATTTCAATGATGCCTATCATGTCTCTGGCTGACACGGGATTGTCAGACTTCTTCATCCTTTCAAATCACTACATCTTTCATTTGATCTTTGTTTCTTTGGTGTTTATTTCAGTCTCTAAGCAACCACTTACTTCAACTCTGATCTTTCTTATACTTTCTCATAATTCCTTTGGCGTTTGGGTTGGCTTTATTTAAACCTCTGATCCAAAGATAATCATTAAGAAGTTGAGGTAGCTATGATTATCATGAACTATAATTTAGAGCCACAAACTTCTCTCCTAAGCATATTTGTGTCTTTTTAATTGTAGCATCTTGTGGTGGTCCAAACCCCATCTGTCACAGTGGTGAACATGGAAGAACAATTTCTGTTCATGAATCTCTTGGATGGAGATTTTCCATCACCATCCAGAGAAACTGGTTCCAGGCTGTCCATCTCCACCATTGTAGATGCTATGTGTTGCTTAGGCCCCATGGCCGAAGAAACCCTGGGACTCATAGAAAAAAATAGGATTAATGATGCCCTGACAAAAATCAATGTGATAAGCGGGAGAACACGTGGTGGTAACATCCTAGGAGAAATATGGCATGTCCCAAAGACCCATTCTCCCAAGAGTCCTACAGGTCCTCCCACTGCCCGTCCTACCCTAAGGAGGGCAAGGAGTGAACCCGCCTTGCCCACATTCGTGGCATCTGAAGACACCAAAGGGCAGGAGGTAAATAAAGTGACAGAAAGCAAGAGCTCTTCTAGTCCAGCTCTCCAGATTTGTACAAGCTGCTGGACATGAGCTGGCCTTGGAATTCTGCCCCACGGTTTTCTCCTGTGTCTGCCTACATTAAGAATAAAACAACAGAGGAAACAGACAGCACTGCCTCATCTGATGACAGTGACACATCTGAGGATTACCTCTCCTGCCTGACGGACACCAGTGCTTATGATATCTCAGCTCCCCACGATGCTGAGGAGGATGAGAGCGAGGAGATGGGCAGTGACACCATGCTCAGCTTCACACCCCTCGAAGGGCTCTGGTTCAGGGCAGACAGCAGCACAGGGAGGCCAGGACCACAGCAGGGTGCTGAGGTCCCTGCTAGCATCAGCACATCTGGAGTCCTGAAGAAAACTGATGCACAATGCAGTGAGAGATCACATGATACAATTGACATCCTGGATGCTCCCCAGTGTGAGAACACTGGATATGAAAATGACAACGAAATACAAGTTGAGGAGTCACCACCAATATCTAATAAGGACCAGTCCCAGGAGGTAGCCACGGCCTCCAAGAAGAAGCACAGAAGGGGCTGGAAAGAGGTGAGGAGGCAAATTCGTCATCTGTTTTCCAGTTTATTCTGTTGCCTCCTCACCCCAAAGACAGAAGATACAGTCCCCAGGTAAGGGACAGCAAGGCATTGGAAATGGGGTCCCAAGGAAACCCAGTAGGAATGGTCAGTGACTTCCCCTTGTGTATTTCAGCTATGAATTGCAAGGCCCTTTGCCACTGATACTCTGTTCCCAGGCATAGGACATGAACCCTAAGATGTCTGTGGTCCGAGAAGGAGCTTTCTCAGTGGACCCCTTTATGTGGATCCTGGGGAAGTAGAGCCTGGAGCAGATAAGCAAAGGATGCAGCCAGGGACAGTGCAGAGAACGAGATGGGAGTTGGGCCTGGGGACTGAGAACAGGTTAGGGGAGAGGAAAGACATGGAGAGCTATGGGACATCAGGGTGGCTCTGTGTTAAGTCACTGTGCCGATGTCACAGTCACTAACAGAGTCCTTTGCTTGTGTCTCTTTCAAGGTCTGAAGAACAGGCCTGGGTCCATGGTTCTTAAGCCATGGGACTCAGTTCTGCCTGGTGTGGCCTACCAGCCCCAGGAGGGAGCCAGGCCAGAACCTGACAGAGCTGTGTACCCCAAATATGGTATTCCCTATCAGATACCTCCAACAATCTGGACACAAGCTCTCTACCCTCCTCCTCTCCCTGCAGTGGGAGCTGTTAGCTCCTACAACTTATTCTACAGCTGACCCAGAGCTATTGCAGGACAGAGAAGTCAGTCACCCGGCCACCTTGTTTTAAAGAGTCAACCATCCAGCTTCTGCAACCATGTTATACAACTTCGTGTTCCACATGACTTGAGGTCTGCATCAGTCCTACCCTAATCTTCATGCTCATCAATGATCAGATGTAAATAAGTCCATACACTCTGTAAGCCCAGGATGTTAGGAGACCCAGGGAGAGGCGCAGAGAGGAGGAGAGGGGCGTGTATGACCCAGGGAGAGGAAAGGAAGACAGTGAGGAGGCAAGGGCATGAGATGGGTGAAGGGGAGGAGAGTCTTCCCATAGGAAGTTCTAGTTCCAGTCAGGCAGCTGTAAGAAAGGGAGGAGCATGTGTGGTTGGGGCTGAGATGTTGGTCGGGCAGAAGCAGGAGCAAATTTCCTGCAGAGCAGAGTTGGGGGTGCAGGGCACGGGTTCCCATGAGTAGAAGAGCATGCCACCCCAGGTAGGTCAAGTCAAACCCTTCCCATGAGTCTCTTTTTCTTTCTGTTCTAACCAGTCTTGGACTAATCAGGTAACTGACATCTGCATTCTTTTCTTCATGGGCAGCTTTCACCAGGCTTGTGTGATGCTCTTCCCCTGTCTCAGAGGACGAGAAACTGGTATAATATTTTTATTCCAGTGAGGGATGCTTTGCCTTCAATTGACTAAAATGACAGAATGTCTCCTGTCTACTGTGAAAAGGTAAGTAGGGCTTGAGAAGGCTGTGGAACATCACTCCAGACAAGGCCAACATCCTTGGACTATCTGTGTCCAGTGCCCACATTCAGGGTCTAGCAAACATTCATTTTCAGGTTGGTACAAGATGTCAGTCAATGATGTAGTGTGCATTCTTGCTGAGTGGGGTGTCTGTAGAGTCCTCCTGGTCACCACGCAGGCTGTGATCAGATCACTGAGTCAGCGGGGTCTGTCCAGATGACAGATTAGTGGTTCTCAACCTTCCCAATGCTGTGACTCTTTGTACAGTTCTTGTTGTTGTGATGACCTCCAAACATACAATTATTTAATTGTTACTTCATACATAATTTGATAACTATTATGAGTCATAATGTAAATATCTGTGTATTATGATGGTCTTAAGTGACCCTGTGAAATGGTCAACCCACCCCCAAAGTGCTTGAGACCATCAGGTTTAGAACCACTGGTTTTCATAAAGCAATTTGAGTTCCATGAGTGTCTCTTGGGGTGGAATACAAGTTTCTGAAGCATGATCTCAACATATCACCAGTGATCCTCGGGATTTTTTTTCTGTGCTGAAAATGCTGGCATTGCTCTTGGGAATATGGGCATTGTGTCAGTTTAGCACATTTCAATCCACTCTCGTGGCTATATCTGAGGACAGCTTGCATACACGAGTTTCTGGGGAAGCCTACATGCCCAGTCCTACTGGAAGTGATGGGGCAGTGGGTCATCAGGTCTTGGCAAGGAGTGCTTGACACTTGTCTCTCTGTTTTGTGTAACATTTCCCAGATTCCCAAGGCCTGGGGGTAGTGAAGTCAGACACAAAGTACATCCTTTTTTTCCGTTTTTTGAGACAAGGTTTCTCTGTGTACTTTTGGAGCCTATCTTGTCACTGGCTCTGTAGACTTGGCTGACCTCAAACTCACAGAGATTCACCTGCCTCTGCCTCACAAGTGCTGGGATTAAAGACATGCACCACCACCACTCTGCAAAAATACATTCTTTTCTGGCGTTCACTCACTGAATTAGCTTCCTTCCTGCTATTTCTAACCTATTGCCATGATGAAGCCCTGTGACCAAGGCAACTTAGGAGAGAAAGCATGGAACTTAGGGGTTCACAGTTGCAGAGGGTGACAGTACACGCCCATTGTTATGGGAAACTAGCAACAGGCAGGATGACATGGCATTGGAGCTGTAGCTGATGACTTACCTCGGATTCTCAAGTGTGACACACAGAGAGATGACTTTGAATGCATTTGGATTTTGAATCTTTAATGCTCTGTGACCCCTGCTGACATCTCCTCCAACAAGGCCACACCTCCTGCTCCTTCTCACCTTCAGCTAGTGCGTTAAGTACCTAAACATGCTCATCTATGAGGGACACTCTTATTCTAACTAACACTGCTTATTAACAAAGGACTTGGAAAGGAATCTCTTTGGGTATCATTGCATTGAGATGTCAGGGACCTCCAGCCATCAGTCAGCTAGGCTATATCACGTAATCATAGAGAAGACATGACACTAAGACCACCCTGCCACCCCTTCTGACATAAAGCAAATTCCAAGTAACAAGCCTGCGGTTTACCTGTCAGTTAAAGATTAGCTCAATTGGAAAAACTACAAGGTCCTCAGGAAACAGGCCTGAGCAGCAGTAAATTATAATAGATAGGATCAGATCCTGCTGTCAGGTTAGCAAGCAACATAGGAATTTCTACCCTTGACCTCTTGCCCTGTAGATTAGGTAGGCAGGCAACACAGCAGACCACCTCTCCCACTGACCTCTTGCCCCTGCAGCTGCAAGTACACCTTCCCCCTTTCCCTCCTCAGTTCTCCTATATAAATCCCTTTGTATGAATGTTGTAGCCTTGATAAGAATCCTGTCTTGGCGTCCATTCCTGTATCCCCTGTTCTCCATGTTTCTCCTAGGTGTCCACCAGACCCACGTTGAATGTCCTGCGGGTCGGGACATATTTGGTGCTCAGCGTGAACTGAAGTCGGATAGCCAGGAGGAAGATGCCGCTCATGGAGTGAAGGGCCTTTCCAGGTCATACCCCAGATGATGGCACAGTCTTCGGTGACCCGCCGAAAAGAGCAAGACAGGTGAGGTGGTGAGCAATGGCGCAGATCTTACAGCCAATGTAATTAATGGGACAGGCATTCTCTCAAAACTCTGTCTTTCTTTCCGGGCTCAAAGAAGCCCTCAGGATACAAGGAATTAGGGTGAAAAAGAAGGATCTTATACAGTAGCACAGGTTAAAAATAAAGGTTTAAAGAGGTTATAGCTTATATGGGAATATGGCAAATGTTTGTCCCTGGAGGGGCTGATAAATATAGTCAAAAAAAAAAAAAAGGTGGTGACTGCCTTCAAGATTATTAAGGGAATGTATAAGAAGGAAATTTGGTCAGATAATTGTATATTCACTTGTGTGTGTTTTGATAGCCAGGAGAGCTAAAATGAAGCAAAACTGCAGAGGACTTTGGAGTTTAAAATGCTCCTTCCCCTCTCACAGAAGCCACTGCTGCAGCTGTGTCACAGGTGCTGTGCCAGGGCCTGGGGAAGGAAGGTGCTACCTGCAAACTTGCATACTTGCAGAACAGCAGGAAATATCTGCCCCTGACCAGTTAGCAGTATGATAAGAGACCTTGGTACCTACTGAGGAGTGGCTAGATCAGAAAACAAACAAACAAACAAACAAACAAACAAAAACCATACAGGACAGAGAGATTAGGAACTAGAAATAGAGAGAAGCAGAAACCTAGTGGTAAAATTCAGCAAAAACGAGAAAGGGACAAGTGAGAGTAATAGGAGAATAAAAAGGAACAAATACCTCATTCACATGTATGAAAATGTCATACTGAAACTCATTATTGTGTATCATTAGCATATACTAAAAGAAAACACAGTAAGAAGTCCAACACAATCATGTCAGCTGTACAGATTATTTACACTGAGACAACATTCCTTTTATAATATTTTAAAAACAAAATATTATTAGTGCTTTCATTGTGCTGTAGGTCTAACTATGCTCAACTTTACTCCTCTGCCAGGTATAATGGTACAAGGTTCTGGGAACCTCACAGGGAAGACAGTGAACCTTGTTTACAGTACCACATCCCATGATTGCATTCAACAACAGAGAAGAGGTTTCTTGGCATGTAATTCCAGAAGCCACCAAAGTCAGATGTATGGCTACTGTTAAGGGTAGACTCCAGGCTTAAATGTGTCCTGTCATCTCCTTGGGGGCCTCTGCTGAATCCTGTGCTGAAAACATACAAACATCTGTTCTTTCAAGTGCCAACTCTGAAGAAGTAGACTACTAAGGAGAGGAGACTCTTGGATCTGTTGGGTTGTGTGAAAACCACCATAGATCTCTAGGGATGCAGCTCTCCTGAGACATCACTCAGGCTGATGACTTTTCAGTTCTCCATGCTCCTGTAAGCAACCTCTCACCCAGACACCACACCCTAGTAAACTCATTGGCCTCCCAAGAAATAAAAGAATTTGAGCTCTACTTCAGAAAGTAAACAAAAGGGAAAGGGAAAAATTTGCACACACATCTTTGGTTTTCACATATTGGTCACAATCTGACCACTTTTTGGACTGCGCTTGTCCACCTTCAGACAGAAAGGACCCAATTACACTAAATTCCTTTTCAAGGAAAGCTGATGTTGCAGGATGAAGCATCATAGTTTTCCAGGCTCCAAGTAGGAGCACTTCACCAAGTTTCATCTGTCTCTGTAAGAGTATCAGGCATCAGTTCTGAACTCGGTGAGTTTCATGGTCAGAGATGTCATGCAGCAAGGGATCCCATGAGGGCAGTAAGTCACTGAAGACAGGGTATGAGCTTTTGACATTGGAAAGATGTATGCAAAATTCTCTGATGCCTGGATATGCTTCTACTCTGGCCTCATCCACATCAGTTGACACAAAAGAAGTTGAACCATTTGCATTAGATAGGGGAAGGCATCTCAGATACAACAGGCTGATCTGAAGCTTAGGTCTGCCAAATTGTACAGTGTCAAAATATGATGATCTTTGAAGTGAGGTGCAAGGAGATGGAAGCTTATGGTGATAAATAAACCCAGAAGAGCAAGAAGGGCTTCACTGGACACCTCGCTGCACCTTTGTGCATGGAAAGAATCGGGGATACCTAAGGAATGCATAGCATCCAAAGCAAGTCCCAATCTGAGACAGAGAAGAGTTAGCGTAATTGTGGTGTCAATCATCAACTTCACTCAAATCAGAACTTTCACAGCCTAGGTTTATTAGGATCAGTAGATGAAAATGGTGAATCTTGCATGTTCTATCCTTGCCACTAAGAGATAGACAAGGGTACAGCACAGTCTGACTTGGGTGCTGTAAAGCAATTCCTCTGAGGGCAGGAGGATGGCTGCCTGATACTTCCACTGCAGTCTAAAGGCATTATTGAGATCTCTCTTTTGCATGCTTAGAGGGCTCATAGGACACTCTGGGAGGTTGGCCAAGTGCTTAGCTATGGATCTCTGCATCTGCTTCCATCAGTTGCTACATGAAGGTCCCATGATGATAATTCAGGTAGTCATCAATCTGAATACAGGTGAAGATTAGTTCAGGCACCCTCTCCACTAATGCAGGTGTTTTAATGGAATTTGAGCCACTGCATCCCCCTCCCAAGTACTCCTGTACGCACTTCCTCTTTCTTTCCATAGTCACCTGAGCATCCCAGGAGTAGTAGCTGAGAGTTTACATCCTGATCCACAAGCAGGAGCCAGAGATTTAGACTGGACCTGGCATGGGTTTTTGGAACTTAAAACCCCATCAGTAGTTAAACATGTTCTCCAACAAGACCGTACCTCTTAATCCCTCCTGAACAGTCTACCAACTGGGAATGAAACATTCAATTACGTGAGTCTATGGGGGTCAATTGAGTTCTAACCAGCACACCAGGTGAGCTGGGGTAAGGTCTTTCATTAAGAAAAGAGGCCCAGTATGATATTGTCAGATCCCCTAGAACTGGAGTTACAGGCAGTTTCAAGCTACCATGTGAATGCTGGTAGTTGAACCTGGGCCCTCTGGAAGAGCAACCATTTCTCTTAACCACTGAGCCATCAACAATTTGTGTTATTCAACAATAACACAAATTGCAGAAACCCTACAAACTCATGGAAATTGAACAATACACAATTGCACCATCCCTGGGTAAAGGAAGAAATAAAAAAAAGAAATTAAAGACTTCCTGGAATTCAATGAGAATGAAGACACAACATACCCAAACTTATGGGACACTCAGAAAGCAGTGCTGAGAGGAAAGTTCATAGCACCAAGTGCCCCCATGAAGAAACTGGAGAAGAGTCATATCAGAGAATTAATAGCACAGCTGAATGTTCTAGAACAAAAAGAAGCAAACCCACCAAGGAGGAGCAGACGCCAGGAGATAATCAAATTGAGGCCTGAAATCAATCAAGTAGAAACCAGGAAAATATTGAGAAGAATCAATGAAACAAACAGTTGGTTCTTTGAGAAAATCAACAAAATAGACAAACCTCTGTCCAAACTAACCAAAAGACAGAGAGAGAGCATGCTAATTATCAAAATTTGGATCAAAGATCTCAACATAAATCCAGCCACATTGAAACTTTTAGAAGAGAAAGTGGGAGATACTCTTCAACGAGTTGGTACAGGAGACCACTTCCTAAACAACACCAGTGGCACAGGCACTGAGATTGACAATTAACAAATGGGACCTTCTGAAACTAAAAAGCTTCTGTAAGGCAAAGGACACAGTCAAAAAGACAAAAAGGCAGGCCACAGAATGGGAAAAGATATTCACTAACCCCACATCTGACAGAGGGCTAATCTCCAAAATTTACAAAGAGCTCAAGAAACAAGTCTCCAAAACACCAAAGGATCCAATTAAAAGGTGGGGTACAGAACTAAATAGAGAATTCTCAATAGAGGAGACTAAAATGGCCAAGAGACACTTAAGAAAGTGCTCAACATCCTTAGCCATCAGGGAAATGCAAATCAAAACAACTCTGAGATACCATCTTACTCCTGTCAGAATGGCTAAAATCAAAAACACGGAAGACAATTTATGCTGGAGAGGATGTGGAGAGAGGGGAACACTCCTCCACTGCTGGTGGGAGTGCCAACTCATACAGCCTCTTTGGAAATCAGTATGGAGGTTCCTCAGGAAAATGGGAATTAATCTACCACTAGACCCAGCAATTCCACTCTTAGGCATATATCCAAATGAGGCAAATTCATACAACAAGGGCATCTGCTCCACTATGTTCATAGCAGCATTATTTGTAATAGACAGAACCTGGAAGCAAGCTAGATGCCCCTCAACTGAAGAGTGGATAGAGGAAATGTGGTATATTTACACAATGGAATATTACTCAGCAGAAACAAACAATGGAATCTTGAAATTCGCAGGTAAATGGATAGCACTGGATGAAACCATCCTGAGTGAGGTAACCCAGTCGCAAAAAGACAAACATGGTATGTACTCACTCATATATGGATGTTAGACATGGATCAGGACAGTGCTAGTCTGCACTTCCACTGATAGAGAGTCTGGGGAACAGGAAAGAACCTAAAAGATATGCATATATGCATAGTACCCAAGAGAAGAGGATTGAGACAAGATCCTCTGAATGGATGGGGAACACGGCGAGGGGTGGGGGGAGTGGGACCTGGGAAGAAGAGAGGGGGTGAAGAGGAAGAGAGTTGGTCATGGGGGAACAGGAAGTTGAGTGGGTGGGGGTAGAATACATGGAAGAGGGAATCATAGGATAGAAGACAGATCAGGCACCAGAGTGACCTCGAGTGATCTAAAGGGATAACACCGATCGGCAAGCTAAGCAATAGTGGAGAGACCACCTCGAATGCCCATTCCTGATAATGAACTTGATGTCTATAACCATCCGGGAGCCTTCATCCTGTGACTGATAGAAGCAGAGGCAGACACACAATTAATCACTGAACTGAACCCAAGGAACCCAGTGACAGAGAGAGATGAGTGATGAGCAAATTGGCAAAGAATGGGCTGGCAAAACCAGCAGAGACAGCTGATCTGAACAGGGGAGAGCTCTTGGACCCCAGAGAGACAGTGGGGAGGCCAGCATGGGACTGATCTGGATCCCCCAAATGTAAGTGTCAGCGAGAAGGCCTGGGCAACCTATGGGGCCCTGAGCTGTGGATCAGTGTCTATCCCTGGAATACAGACAGTCTTCGTGTGCCTATAGCACAAAGAGGGATGCTCTCTCAGCCTGGACTCTTAGGGGAGTGCCTGGACCCTACCAAGAGTGAAATGAAAGACTCTAGATATCCCCTATGTGGAAGGATTTGGCAATAGAGTGGGAGCCTGGGGGGGGGGAGGGGAGTGCGGGAGGAGGGGAGGGAGAGGGAACTGGGATTGACATGTAAAACAAGCTGTATAAAATTAAAATAAAAAATGATAAAAAAGAAATGAAAAAGGGGATATAATTGACTCTGAGGAAATCCAGAGAATCATCAGGGCATATTTTGAAAATCCGTACTCCACAAAATTCAAAAATTTAAAGGAAATGGACAATTACCTGGATAGATATCACTTGCCAAAACTAAATCAAGAGCAGATAAACTATCTAAACAGACTATAACCCCTAACGAAATAGAAGCAGTCATCAAAAGTCTCCCAAACAAAAAAAGCCCAGGCCCAGATGGTTTCAGTGCAGAATTCCACCAGAAATTCAAAGAGGTAATTCCAATACTCCTCAAAGTATTCCACACAATAGAAGCAGGAAGCTCACTGCCAAACTCTTTTTACGAGGCTACAATTACCTTGATACCCAAGCCACACAAAGACACAACTAAGAGAACTATAGACCAATTTCCCTCATGAACATCAATGCAAAAATACTCAATAAAATACTGGCAAACCGGATTCAAGAACACATCAGAAAAATCATCCACCATGATCAAGTAGGCTTCATCCCAGGAATGCAGGGATGGTCCAACATTAGAAAATCTATCAATATAATCCACCATATAAACAAACTGCAAAAGAAAAACCACATGATCAAATTACTAGATGCTGAAAAATCCTTTGACAAAATTCAGCACCCCTTCATGATAAAGGTCATAGAGAGATCAGGGATAACAGGAACATATCTGAATATAAGAAAAGCAATATACAGTAAACCAACAGCTACATTCTATGTATTTATATTCTTATGTACAAACAATTATATTTTAGAACAAAGCTTTTAAATACTTTTTTATTTTAACGTAAATAAACATATTTTATAACCACATTGGTTTTATTTTCTCCTTACCTATGGTCATTGCATCTCTACATTTTCTTCTGACTTACTTTTCTTTTTCAGGAGTCATATGAACGAGCAAAACATATCTTGAAAACTTATGCGAAAGAGCATAAAAATCTAGCAGATGTGTTGTTGACCTATGAGATTTTGGATGCCAAAGAGATTCAAATTGTTCTTGAGGGGAAGAAATTGGAAGTGAG